ATAGAAAGTAATGCATTACATTTCAAAACCTGGGCAGGGCTTGCTTGTTTGTTTTTAATATAGCTAAAAAAGTTATTTTACAAATGTAAAAGCCCTTTCACAACAAAAGTGAAATGAATACGCCTCAGGCTGAAGGAAATGTAAATTCACGTCTGTACAATAGAGGACGCAGCTCAAACAAAATGCATGATATGACTCAGGAGAAGAAAGTTCAACACTATTCAGCAATAACAAAAATGAAACACAAATGTGTTACTTATTTTTGCTTATAATATGGTTGAATTGGATCATCGAAGGTCTGTAGCAAAGATACTTGTTTATAAAATGGGATTAAATACATAAATGGTATTTGTCTTATTTAACATATTTAATTATTGCAGGTTTGTATAATATAATATTGTTTTTATTCATTTTGAGGAATACTGAATGTGTTTTTGTGCAGGTGAGATTAGTAAATACATGTTCACATCTAGTCTAGAACTACAGTATCATCATGTTCACACAGCGCACACAACCCTCTGCACTGATTCCTCTCAACATGAGGACAGGAGAGCTGTCAGTCAAAACATGGGAAACATGTTAACTACTTTACTAGTTACTTAAAAAAGAAGGCCTGATCTGATTATGTAACTCGCATTACTTCTAGTCGCTTTCACAGCCTTGTTGTGTTTAATCACGCTCTTGCAAACTATCCTAACTTAAACTTTCAGGGATAGTGTTCTTTTAATAGAGACTGAAAAAGTTGTCAAAAGCTTAATGATGGTGAGGTCCGGGGTCCGGGGTCTATTATTCAAAGGATTCTGGGTCACAGCAGCTGTTTGTTTACATTTAGTCTTAATTCAGACTGTGGGACTTCATCTGACGGTACGCACAGAAGGGATTTTTTTTGTTGTTGCAAAAACAACACTACAAAGTAAAAAAAAAAAAATTGCTCATGTTAAATATAACATTATAATACCATTCATATTTTTACTTTTATTATAATTTCAAGAAGAAACCAATCCGATGTATTTTTGACATTTGAGGCGTAATACTATAGAAAAGCACTAAAGGTTTTTCAGTTAGAGTGTTTTCAGCTTGTTTATTTTCATATAAAAATACAGCATGCAGTTGCATCATTCAGTGTAAATTGTGATAATCATAATTAATAATCGCAATTACAATTTCAAGGGAATAATCAACAATTAAGATATTTGTCATAATCGTGCAGCCCTAGTGTGCAAAGACCTTAAGACTGGGAACTAGTTCCACTTTGAACTAAAAATTTTTAATTACAATGGTCGTCAGGCGGCCACACAATCCATTTATCAATTTTAATAATTTCTAATATGCTGATTTGGTGCTCAAAAACATTTATTATTATCCATGTTGAAAACAGTTTTTCCTACTTAATATTTTTGTGGAAACAGTGACACATTACAATTTATAAGCCATTGTTTAAAATAAAAGAAATTAATACTTTTTTCAGCAACGCATTAAACGGATTAAAAGAGAGAGTAAAGACATTTAAAATGCTACAAAACATTTCTATATGAAATAAATGCTGTTCATTAATCTTTCTATTCATCACAAAATGCTAAAAAATGTATCACAGTTTCCACGAAAATAAAAAAATGAATATATAATTAAAGTAAAACTGTCAAATCAGCATATTATAGTGATTTCTGAAGGATCATGCGACACTGACTGAAGACTGGAGTAATGATGCTGAATATTCAGCTTTGCATCACAGTAATAAATTACGTTTTAAAAAAATATATTCAAATAAACTCATTTTAAATTGTAATAACATTTCACAACATTAATGGTTTTACTGTATGTTTGACCAAATAAATGCAGTCTTGGAAAGCATAAGAGACGTCTTTTAAAAACAATTAAAAACAACAACTAAAAAAAAAAAAATCATTTATTTATTAATCATTAATTATTTATATAGCGGTTAGAAGTTTTTAACATGTTTTTGCAGTTTATCCTATAGTTGACTTCCGAGATGTTTTAGCAATGCACATCTGATTATTCACTGAACATTGTGAACATCTCATTTTGTTCTGCACGTGTTGTTTATTTGATGACTGGAAGAGTTCATCTTTCAATAGGCAGGACAAAGTGTGGCCAATAATAATGATTTAAATGCACTATTATCGTTAATAATAAACAGCCTCCCCACAGCCTCTTGAAGTTAAATCAGTACGAACCCTGTACTCTGAATTAACCTGCGAGCAGCAACGATGGAGAACTAAAAGCTAGTCGGTTTGTCATAGACAGGTTTTATAACGCACATAAACATTACTGCGCGTGATACACACAACCTCTATAGAGGACAGTTACTCTCCTCCTATCCAACAGTAAAAAGCGCCAGTACTGCACCTGGTTCCCTGACTGGCAGCTGATATCTGGCATAAATGCAGGCGGACCTCACGCAGATTTTTTGACAGATTTGAGCCGATTCCGCGAACCACCGCTGCCGCCGCCATAACTGTCACCTTCACGAACGGAAGTGCTCTTCTTCTGTTGCTGTTTAGCGGCCGCTGGCAAAACCGGTTTCATCTGCATTACCGCCACCTACTGACTGGACGGTATACGTTCCTGTTTCTTTCAGAAAATGCATCAGCAACACGCCCTTATGAATTTGATATTCTTTTAAAGGGGTCATATGATGCGATTTCAATTGTTCCTTTCTCTTTGGAGTTAGTAAATACATGTTCACATCTAGTCTAGAACTACAGTATCATCATGTTCACACAGCGCACACAACCCTCTGCACTGATTCCTCTCAACATGAGGACAGGAGAGCTGTCAGTCAAAACATGGGAAACATGTTAACTACTTTACTAGTTACTTAAAAAAGAAGGCCTGATCTGATTATGTAACTCGCATTACTTCTAGTCGCTTTCACAGCCTTGTTGTGTTTAATCACGCTCTTGCAAACTATCCTAACTTAAACTTTCAGGGATAGTGTTCTTTTAATAGAGACTGAAAAAGTTGTCAAAAGCTTAATGATGGTGAGGTCCGGGGTCCGGGGTCTATTATTCAAAGGATTCTGGGTCACAGCAGCTGTTTGTTTACATTTAGTCTTAATTCAGACTGTGGGACTTCATCTGACGGTACGCACAGAAGGGATTTTTTTTGTTGTTGCAAAAACAACACTACAAAGTAAAAAAAAAAAAATTGCTCATGTTAAAGACTCATAAGTTTTAAATTTCTTGATTATGTCTTGCATTCTTGTAGCTACACACAAGACACACTTCAGACTAAACAGTCAAGCAAAAGCAACTGTACACCTGAAAAGAACAAAGATGTCTCACATTTTAAACCCAAACCAGAAAAAAAATCATCGAAATGGCCAAAGATATCCATCTAGTACATGTGCACAAATAGGAAAACAACTGCTTTTGTAAAAATGCCAAAAGTATCGCCATATATACATTCACTTAGATGATGACAGCACTTGAAGCACATTGAAGGATGTTTGTCTGGCATGGACATTTTAATTCATTCACTCGTCATTGTTGCATTAATTGGAATTGACATAAAAAGGCAATGAATCTGCAAACTCCTTTGCATGAAATATGAGACCAGTGATACTCTTCACTGGCAGTGGAACAATTCAGGCAACAAACAGATTTATCAACATGTTTGTGGGTTCATTAGACATTGGAAGTGTTATGCACAAAACGTCTGATATGAAATGCAGAATTTCCAGATGTTTATTGCGCAATGAAATTGACAAAAGAACATCTTCATTTTGGTGAACGGCCTGAAAAAATTTGACTGTGCATTAAAAAAGCAGAAAATATACATGTCTGTGCAATTAATTTTACCCATCAAGGCAGCAGAGAATATCTTTTTAAATAGAAGCATTCTGTATGGATTTTCCATGACGAGCAACTCAAGAGTGCCAGTTGGGGTAGTTTTTCTCATCACCAGCACTTACTAAGAAGCTGTTGGTGTTTGTGGTTACACTGCTGTGTTTGCTTCACTTCCCGAGAACACATGCAACCTCAATGGCACCTTTCTATAAGAGAGGCCCACCAACTGAAATAACTAGTGATAATGTGCCATTTGTCACTTTCAAATTTAAGGAGTTTACTAAAATAAAATAAACAGAGGAGAGTTATTGCCTCAGAAAAAGATTTTAAAAAGAATTTTTACAGCATTTGCAATGTGATTATTTTGTATTTTTTTGCATTACTAAAGATGCAATATTTTTGCCACAGTAACTATCGTTATTTCTCTTCAGCCTTTATTGGAGGATAATCTGGCAAGCAGTCTGTAGATATTTGTCTTCCTTTGGTCTTTTTTCTGAAGTATACGGCTACAGTATCCATAATGGAAAATGATGTGTTACCTGCACACAAAGACAAAAATTGGCACCTTGATAAATTTCCACACAATTTTAAAGCCCTTAAATATAGCCCACATATATCCATTTTGTGCAAATAAAAATACCAGAAAACATTCTTGGTTTCTAAGAAGTGTCACCCTTGTATTATTTAGTTGTCTGTGTTTGCGCCTTGTACTGTATGCATCCACCTTTTTCCTATGCCCCGTGATGCTTTTCGGGATTTGTGAGAGTAACTTCCATTAAACTGTAAACAATGAGCCAAATATTCTCTATATGTACTGAATAATAAGCATTATTATTCAACCTTGTTGTTATGGATGATGTTAACAAGCTGGCTAAGTATGCTCACAGTGATTGACTGTGTATGGGTCTCCAGGCAGCGAAACACAAATTTGCAGTTATTATTTTATGTTAATATGTTGAATTTTGCGAAAAAACATGATGGAGAAAGCATTCTGTGCTATGCTTTAAAAAAAAACATTCCTGAACACCGTGTCTCGCGTTTATAGAGACAAAGACACATTCTGTGTGAATGGCGCTTTAGTGTGGTTTATGTTTCTGTTGTATTTCTCTTGTAATCTCCTATTTTTTTTGTTTCTTAATAAAGAATGTGACTATTATGAATTTACCTTGTTATCTTCTTCCTGCATCTCGACTAAACAGAGATCCAAGATAGAGGATTAAAACATCCTATTATTTCTAGTACCGGTTGTTTTGGCTTATCATAATACACAAAGTCCTGAAAATAGATCGAGTTATAATTAATAATAAATTATAATTTAAAAATAAACATAAAAAGTCTTAAATGACAAAACTAAAAAACAAGTTTTTAAAAAAGCATTTTTAACAATATTTACAATAAGTATGCAGGCCCCCAATAGTGTAGCTTTCAATTTGACATCCAGGTTGCTTGGAAACCTCAGCACAAAATCTGCTCCTGTATTTAGTACACTGCATGAGAAAGGTTTGACGATCGTGCCAAATGGTCTTTCTGTCTCTTCCCCGTTCAAAGAAACCAGCTGTGGTCACAGTATAAGACAGGCAATTACAAAACACATCAACCCATTAAGCATTCATGCAGGTTACTAGCTACGTTTCACAATATATCTGCATAAATATGACCCAAAACATATTTTGTGCGTTGTGCGTTGCTCAAGTATGTGAATCTTTGCTTTCAGTAGCTGCTTTTTCAGCAATAACTGCAGGTAAACGTTTCTTGTAACTTCTGATCAGTCCTGAGCAATGACTTGTAGGAAATTGAGCCCATTCCTCAGTACAGAACCGCTTCAACTCTATGATGCTGGGGGCTTGCTTCAGGTCCTTCCACAACATTTCAATTGGATTAAGGTCTGGACTTTGACTTGACCGTTCCAAAACATTAACTTTGTTCTTCTTTAACCATTCTTTGGTAAAAACGACTTGTATACTTGGAGTCGTTGTCTTGCTGCATGACCCACTTTCTCTTCAGATTCAGTTCTTGGAAAGCTGTCCTGACATTTTCCTTTAGGATTTGCTGGTATCATTCAGAATTCATTGTTTCATCAATGATGGCAAGTCATCCTGGCCCAAACCATGATACTGTCACCACCATGTTACACAGATGGGACAAGGTTCTTATGCTGGAATGCAGTGTGTTCTTTTCTCCAAACACAACGCTTCTCATTTAAACCAGAACGTTCTATTTTGGTCTCATCTGTCCACAAAACATTTCCCCAAAAGTCTTCTGGTTTGTCCACATGATCTTTAGCAAACTTTTTTGGAGAGCAGTGGCTTTCTCCCTGCAACTCTGCCATGCACACCATGTTGTTCAGTGTTCTGCTGATGGTGGACTCATGAACATTAACATTATAGCCAATGTGAGAAAGGCCTTTAGTTAGCCTTTACCACTCCTGGGGAGGGTAACAGTGGTCTTGAATTTCCTCCATTTGTACACAATCTATCTGACTGTGGATTTGTGGAGTCCAAACTCTTTAGAGATGATTTTGTAAGCTTTTTCAGCCTGATGAGCAACAGCAACTCTTTTTCTGAGGTCCTCAGAGATCTGCTTTGTTCGAGCAATGATACACTTGGCCTGTCAGTTAAATGTGACCCAATTCTGATTTTTTGCTCATATGTGACAGAGATCGGATGTGTTCTTTGACTGTGTAAACAGGAAAAGAAAAACGCATGCATTCAGATATTTCGAGATCGGTTTCAGGCCTCATTTATATGTGGAATTAAATCAGATATAAATCAAATATGTGCCAATGCGTAAACAGGCAGATTGGATTTTCTGAGGCATTGCGTTCTGTATGTCATTAAAACTGTGACAATTTGGTTCTTCTCCAAATGACAACAACATAGGAAACATGGAGGAGGTATGGCAAGTGTAAACACATGAATCGGATATGGGTCACAATTGAAAGATGGTGTAAATGGACGGTCAAAACAATCAGATATAGGCAACAAATTAAAATTGGGCATCAAGACCTGCAGTGTAACAAAGGCCTTCCACAAACACGATAAAACAGGGCAGGCAATGACACCTGATAGTCCTTCCACTGACTGAAAACACCTCTGAACTGATAATAACAATAAAATGTTTAATTTATATAGCGCCTTTCCCAGGCTCAAGGATGATTTACAAGGTACACCAACACAACAAATACTCATTTGAAATACTCAGAAACAATTTAAGTGGGCATTGGACATTTGCCCAATTCATTAACAAATAATGCAGTTGCATGTAACACAGATTATGTAATAAAGACATTGAAAAAGAAAACAAATGGGACAAATACACAATGCTATTTAGTGATAGTGTTGATTAAACAAATATGTTTTAAGTTTTGATTTAAACTCACTGAAAGAGGTGACTGTTCTGAGTGCCAGAATTCCAAAGTTTGGGTGCCGTGACAGAAAAGGACCTGCTGCCCATTGAAGATAGGCGGAACCTAAGCACGCAAAGAAGTTCTGAACTAGAAGACTGGAGTGAGCGAGAATGAATATAAGATGAGAGTAGGTCGGAAAGATAGGAGGGAGCAAGACATTTGAGTGCCTTAAAGGTGAGCAGAAGAATTTTGTATTGCACACAAATTGATGCAGGCAACAAGTGAAGATTAAATAGAATAGGGGTGATGCGAGCAGATTTTTTTTTGTAAGTTAATAGACTGGCAGCAGAATTTTGAATGTACTGCAGATGAGAGATGGAGTGAGCTGGTAAGCCAGAAAAAAGAGCATTACAATAGTCGAGGCGAGCGGTAATAAACGCATGCACTAATGATTCCGCATCTTTTCTACTGAGGAAAGGACAAAGTTGCGCAATTTGCTGGAAAAAAGCAACTTTGGAGAGTTTGCTGATTTAGTCATCCAAGGTCAGTGATGGGTCTAGAATGATACCTAAATTTCTAACAGTAGCCGATGGAAATATAGAAATAGTGTCAAGATCAAAGCTAGAAACATTAGTTTGATTTTTTATTAGAGATGGGGGACCAATTATTAAAATTTCTGTTTTACTCAAGTTCAAACTAAGAAAATTAGAGTGTAGACAGTCTTTTAACTCACTGACACATGAAGATAAGGAGGCCATCAAATGGGTAGAATCTGGCTGACAAGCAGTATATATCTGGATGTCATCAACATAACAGTGGTAGTTAAAATCATGCCAACGAATTATTTGGCCAAGAGGCTGAATGTAGAGGATGAATAATAATGGTCCGAGAATTTAACCCTGGGGAACACCCTGTTTGAGCGAGACAGTGGGAGATTTGGAATTGTGCAGTGAGCTGTAGTATTGCCTATCTGTGAGATATGAGAAGAACCAGGATAATGCAGAACCTGAGATGCCAAACTCTGCAAGGTGAGAGAGTAATATCTTATGACAAACAGTATTGAAAGCTGAGCTGAGCTGCCCGAATCACCAGAAAGTAAGAGATCATTGACGACCTTTACCAGAGCAGTTTCCATACTGTGCTGTGAGCGAAAACCAGACTGAAAAATATCAAAGAGATTGTTGTGGGCTAGAAATGACTGCAGCTGAGAGACAACGGACTTTTCCATAATTTTTGATACAAATGGCAGGTTAAAAATTGGACAGTAGTTAGATTAACTTTCAGGATCCAGATTTGGTTTTTTGAGAATAGGGGTAACGGCAACAGTCTTGAGTGAGATCGGAACAGTGGAATAAATAAAAGACATGTTGATGAGGTGTGAGATTGGGGCAAAAATAACAGAGGTACAGTGTTTCAGGAGGAAAGTAGCTGCAGGGTCTTGCCGGCTTGAAGAGGAATTTGATTTCTGTATTAAATCAGTAATTAGAGATTGATTTGTCAAGGTAAAGGTAGTCAATGATTGGGTAGACTGAGTTTGCTCACAATTAGAAATAGTCGGTTCCTCACCAAAGGTCCCACATAAAACATCCAACTTTCCCTGAAAGTGGTGCAAAAAAGTACAACACAAATCATCAGATTCATGTTGGCTGATACTATGATTTGGTGCCTGGATTAGTTTGTTTACCATGCTAAATAGTGCTTTAGGCCTATCATTAGCTTTGTTAATGATTCTGGAGATATAAGAAGAGCGGGCTGCGTTCAAGGCAGTTTTATAGTACTTACTATAGTCAGAATAAACAAGATAATGGACAGTTAAACCCGTTTTCCTGAAAAGATGTTCATGTTGTCTGCATTTTGCTTTCATAGTGCGAAGCTCTGCATTAAACCAAGGAGAGGAGTGAGACATGGGAACAGACCTGGTCCTAATTGGAGCATACTCATCTAAGATGGACAGGTAGCAGAGAATGTACTGATATCAACAGCATTTACACGACGATATGAAATGGTTATGTTATCAGTGCATTTGGCTGGACAGATTAAAGTAAAGTCAAAATTAATAAGCTTGTGGTCAGAGATAGGAATAGCCAGACCACTGACTGAGATATTATTCAAACCAGATGTACAGACCAGATCAAGCGTATGACCATGAGTGTGAGTTGGAAAGTTAACATTCTGAATAAGATCGAAGCAGTCCAGTACAGTCATTAGTTGAGTAGTATTAGAGCAGACACATGGATGTTAAAGTCACCAAGTATGATAACCTGGGACGAAACAGCACAGGCTAACGTTAGTAATTCACTGAGTTCTGAGAAGAATTCAATTTGCTGCTTGGGTGGTCTATAAATCAGGATAATTATGAGGGGGCATTTTAAGCCAACCTTCATAACAATAAACTCAAATGTCGTAGTATTATGAAAATTCAGTTTGGTAAGTGCTATGGAGTCACGATAAATAACTGCAAGACCACCCCCTTTGCTAGTTGAACGCCGTTTAGACATATATTGATATCCGGTCGGTGTAAGCAGATTTAGATGCAAAAAGTCATTTGGTGACTGCCAAGTCTCTGTAAGAAATAACATATCCTCGTTATTGTCAATAATTTGTTCGTCAATAGGAGTCTTTGTCAGAGATGGAGCGACAATTAAGAAGAGCACAGTGTTTCTCCGATATGCTGCTAGTGGAGGTAACGTTATCCTTGGAGTCGATCCTATTTATGTTGACAAGTGACCGCGGAGTTCGACAGTTCCTTTGAGGACGTTTCAGCTATTCAGAGCCCTGTTGCTAGACCAGACGCACGGAATCACAGTAGACGACGGCTGATGAATACTGACAATCCGTCTAGATGAGCAATGTAAATAATGGGGGCGTCGAATGATACCAAGTGAACGGCAGTGTTTGTACGTCGTGGAGTCGAGACGCAGGTGCCCGTTTAGAGCCTTTAGCTCGCAGGGCATGTACCCAATTTCCATGTTGGGGTTAAATCCAATAGTGACCAGAAAAATAATAATGAGCGCTAAAGCTTTTGACGTGTTGGCAATAGCCATAGGAAAGCCAGCCATCAGCAAAACCACGTTAGCCAGAACCACAGTCATCACAGCATCTACAAAAGCTCACCGAGAGGAAGGCTACCCGACCAGACAGTAAGCCAGTAGACTGACTGATAAGAAGAGTGTTAGTGTAACCCCTCTCTCCCGGGTCCTCACCGCCACACCTCGTTCTCGCTCCAAGTGGGTCTTGAACCCGGGTCTCCGGCATGGCAGGCGGACGCACTAACAAGGAGGCTAAAGAATGAGATCAGGGGAGTGAGGTTTACCTGCACAGCACCTACTCGCTGGCCTCCGTTACATTAGCTCACCTCACAGCCAGACCAATAAATGGAGGATCGAAGAGGTTGAGGGCTCGCAGTAAACCGACAACCAAAATGTTCCCGGCGGCAACAAAACACATCAGGTTGAAGCAAGGAAGTAAAAAACAGATCTCAGAGTAGTATCCAAGAAGCCAGAGGAATTCACGGCAGATCCAACAGTAGCTCGAACAGTAGTCCAAAAACAAAAAAAAGTACAATGACAAACGCAAACACAAATCATCACAAACAAAACAAACAGCCCAGCATGGAGCAGCAACCAGGCGCGCACAGCGTAGCGTACCCACAACCGGAAGTCCATAGAAGTGATAGTGATGGACTGATGGACTCTAATTTTGCCTTCAAATTAACTTCTAATTCTCTTGATTCACATACTTTTGCAGCACACAGATATGCAACACTGGATAATTTTTCTCAAATAAATGACAAAGTGAGCAGAAGAATTTTGTATTGCACACAAATTGATGCAGGCAACAAGTGAAGATTAAATAGAATAGGGGTGATGCGAGCAGATTTTTTTTTGTAAGTTAATAGACTGGCAGCAGAATTTTGAATGTACTGCAGATGAGAGATGGAGTGAGCTGGTAAGCCAGAAAAAAGAGCATTACAATAGTCGAGGCGAGCGGTAATAAACGCATGCACTAATGATTCCGCATCTTTTCTACTGAGGAAAGGACAAAGTTGCGCAATTTGCTGGAAAAAAGCAACTTTGGAGAGTTTGCTGATTTAGTCATCCAAGGTCAGTGATGGGTCTAGAATGATACCTAAATTTCTAACAGTAGCCGATGGAAATATAGAAATAGTGTCAAGATCAAAGCTAGAAACATTAGTTTGATTTTTTATTAGAGATGGGGGACCAATTATTAAAATTTCTGTTTTACTCAAGTCATTAGCTTTGTTAATGATTCTGGAGATATAAGAAGAGCGGGCTGCGTTCAAGGCAGTTTTATAGTACTTACTATAGTCAGAATAAACAAGATAATGGACAGTTAAACCCGTTTTCCTGAAAAGATGTTCATGTTGTCTGCATTTTGCTTTCATAGTGCGAAGCTCTGCATTAAACCAAGGAGAGGAGTGAGACATGGGAACAGACCTGGTCCTAATTGGAGCATACTCATCTAAGATGGACAGGTAGCAGAGAATGTACTGATATCAACAGCATTTACACGACGATATGAAATGGTTATGTTATCAGTGCATTTGGCTGGACAGATTAAAGTAAAGTCAAAATTAATAAGCTTGTGGTCAGAGATAGGAATAGCCAGACCACTGACTGAGATATTATTCAAACCAGATGTACAGACCAGATCAAGCGTATGACCATGAGTGTGAGTTGGAAAGTTAACATTCTGAATAAGATCGAAGCAGTCCAGTACAGTCATTAGTTGAGTAGTATTAGAGCAGACACATGGATGTTAAAGTCACCAAGTATGATAACCTGGGACGAAACAGCACAGGCTAACGTTAGTAATTCACTGAGTTCTGAGAAGAATTCAATTTGCTGCTTGGGTGGTCTATAAATCAGGATAATTATGAGGGGGCATTTTAAGCCAACCTTCATAACAATAAACTCAAATGTCGTAGTATTATGAAAATTCAGTTTGGTAAGTGCTATGGAGTCACGATAAATAACTGCAAGACCACCCCCTTTGCTAGTTGAACGCCGTTTAGACATATATTGATATCCGGTCGGTGTAAGCAGATTTAGATGCAAAAAGTCATTTGGTGACTGCCAAGTCTCTGTAAGAAATAACATATCCTCGTTATTGTCAATAATTTGTTCGTCAATAGGAGTCTTTGTCAGAGATGGAGCGACAATTAAGAAGAGCACAGTGTTTCTCCGATATGCTGCTAGTGGAGGTAACGTTATCCTTGGAGTCGATCCTATTTATGTTGACAAGTGACCGCGGAGTTCGACAGTTCCTTTGAGGACGTTTCAGCTATTCAGAGCCCTGTTGCTAGACCAGACGCACGGAATCACAGTAGACGACGGCTGATGAATACTGACAATCCGTCTAGATGAGCAATGTAAATAATGGGGGCGTCGAATGATACCAAGTGAACGGCAGTGTTTGTACGTCGTGGAGTCGAGACGCAGGTGCCCGTTTAGAGCCTTTAGCTCGCAGGGCATGTACCCAATTTCCATGTTGGGGTTAAATCCAATAGTGACCAGAAAAATAATAATGAGCGCTAAAGCTTTTGACGTGTTGGCAATAGCCATAGGAAAGCCAGCCATCAGCAAAACCACGTTAGCCAGAACCACAGTCATCACAGCATCTACAAAAGCTCACCGAGAGGAAGGCTACCCGACCAGACAGTAAGCCAGTAGACTGACTGATAAGAAGAGTGTTAGTGTAACCCCTCTCTCCCGGGTCCTCACCGCCACACCTCGTTCTCGCTCCAAGTGGGTCTTGAACCCGGGTCTCCGGCATGGCAGGCGGACGCACTAACAAGGAGGCTAAAGAATGAGATCAGGGGAGTGAGGTTTACCTGCACAGCACCTACTCGCTGGCCTCCGTTACATTAGCTCACCTCACAGCCAGACCAATAAATGGAGGATCGAAGAGGTTGAGGGCTCGCAGTAAACCGACAACCAAAATGTTCCCGGCGGCAACAAAACACATCAGGTTGAAGCAAGGAAGTAAAAAACAGATCTCAGAGTAGTATCCAAGAAGCCAGAGGAATTCACGGCAGATCCAACAGTAGCTCGAACAGTAGTCCAAAAACAAAAAAAAGTACAATGACAAACGCAAACACAAATCATCACAAACAAAACAAACAGCCCAGCATGGAGCAGCAACCAGGCGCGCACAGCGTAGCGTACCCACAACCGGAAGTCCATAGAAGTGATAGTGATGGACTGATGGACTCTAATTTTGCCTTCAAATTAACTTCTAATTCTCTTGATTCACATACTTTTGCAGCACACAGATATGCAACACTGGATAATTTTTCTCAAATAAATGACAAAGAATTTTTTTTGTCTCATTTGTTTGATTGGGTTCTCTTTGTCTACTTTCAGGACTTGTGTGAAAATCTAAATATGTTTTGGGTCATATTTATGTAGAAATATAGAAAATTCGAAAGGGTTCACAAACTTTCAAGCAGCACTGTATATATAGATATAAACGGGCCTATATGGATTTAAGATTTACAGCTTAAGCTTTATTCTTTAAAAAAGCAAATAAGACCATGTTAGCTCTGACATTTAAAGCCAAAGACACATGTTTGTGTGTGTGGGTCAGGTGTTTTCCTTTATTGTATGCATCAAATTTCCCCAGAAATGTAACACAACCTGAAATCACCTACAACCAATGTGGGTCAGGAAACAAGGAAAATGGCTTGATAAGCAGGCTAGCAGAGTTAAAATCATAATCTAAAAATGCTAAAAGGTTTATGTGAAGGTTATGCTACAGGTTAAATAGTAGAACATAACTTTGGTCAATTTAAAAATAATACAAATCAAATGGAAAATTGTAACTTGTACATGTGTATCACCTCAAAGTTCTGATCCATGCAGCAGGTAAGAGGTACAAACGGTCCCACAATCTTAACTTCCGGTTCACCTTGTTTATTCTGTACTGTGAATTTAGGCAGGCAAACAGGCCAGTTTTGTCGAACATGTCCGATGACAAAGCCTGGTGGAGACTGAACCTCCAGCTAAAATATACATAGAACATAAAATATACAGTACAATACACTCAAGGTCTAAACGAGAGAAGGATAATGTTCATACCTCATGTCTTCTGCAGCTGCTGCTGCAAACAAACAGGTGCACCAGTCTGATGACCTCTTTATTATATTCATTAATAACATTCATTATGAAGGAACGACCTGGATAGAGATGCCTGCTACAATAATCAATGTCCTCAAGAATACTAAAAAGAACGTTCCCGACGTCATCCTTCACCTTATATCTGTTGTCAGCCTTTATTTCACAGCAAACTGTAAGAAATTAAAAGGAAGGAAATTAGAGTGTTGCTTTTTTGGTTTCACCGTATATTTCATTCATGAAATGCTGATGAACGAACCTTCGTCAAAACATTCGTCCGGATGAGGTTCTTTGTAGACAAACAATTGATCAATCTAAAATCATAGCATAAAAATAACAGGAAATAACTGCATTTGTCAGAGTAACATATATATGACAGGGCTTGATGCTTACTTTTTTTCCCCCCAAAGAGCACATGTGTTCATAATTTGAAAAATGTAAGAGCACATTAAAAAACTTTAGGGACGCAGTGCACTAATTTATCAAATAATTCCTGTTTAAAACTGTATTTGTATATATATATCTATGTTCTTTTAGTAGGGATGCACCAATACCACTTTTTACAGAACGAGTCCAATAGCGATACTTTCATTTTTGGTAGCCTAATCATTTATAGTGACACCAATACCTGTATTTTCATTTGCATTTGTAATTTTTAAAAAATACTAGGTACAGAAACAAAAAGTACAGTACAAATGCAAATACAGTACAGTTTGGATCTGTGCTGCTCAAACTGTTTCATGCATGGTTCAGTCTGATTTGGTGTGAACTGGTTCATCTAGTTCACTAAAAAGAACCGGTTCAAAATAATTTGTTTGCGAACAGTACATTACTCTGAACCATTCGCCTGATGCTCTGGATTACAAGTAGGCTATAATGTTGTAAATAATGTTCAGTTTCTTTCACTATCCCTTTAACTGGTACATAAATGATCCACAGATCAGCGGATCCTGGTACTGTTTCTGTTGAAAGAGGTCAAGTTTATCACAAAACAGTGTTTTCGCTGAAGTAGTGAAAAATCTTTGCTGAGAAGAATGTGACAAAACATCCCAGCATCCTTCATATAAAGAGGAGTGCTAACTTGTTTGATCAGTGCTTTAATATTTGCACAATTATCCAGATAAATGCTGAATTTACTATACACCACGGCTTCTTGGGGCTTATTGCTTTAATTAATTATAAATATATCCAGTCTTATCTGACCCAGGTCAAGGGCTCCATATGGAATGGGCAGCACGGGTTTGGGCAAGCTACAATTGCGGCTTCCTTACAGATAATAATATAACATTAATGAAATAAAAGGCCTCTGAGGGGTACATAAAGAGTCCACTGATTAGAGTAGATTTGTATTTAAAGTTGTGAATACATCATTACAAAAGTGTTGTCACAAAAAAATATATGCAAGTTTTAACTGCAATAACATTTTAGTTGACCGTAATTGCTTGTCAGTACAATCAGCAGTACACTTTAACCCTTAAAGCAATTATGAAATTACATATACAAATGTACTTAAATGCTATAAGTGGTTCAAAAACTCTACTACAACTACTGCATTTAAATGTAAGCTATACTACATTGTAAATTACATTGTAAATTGTAAATTGCATGCAATTAAATGTCCAACAACATTACTTTAAGTTTGCATTTATTCTTTACAAGTATGTTATTTCTGTAATAAGTACTCTTTTTAAAAGTATGCTGTCTTTTTCACAAGGGGTCATATCTTGTTTTGGCTATAGAGTCTGCATCAGTGCCTGTTGTAGTCAAATAAACAAAACGGGCTTAAGATAGATGAACATCCAAACAAACTCACCTGACAATTCCATACTTGATTTTATCTGCGAAGAGTGAATAAGTAAATAAATTTAGTGTTAATTTTTCTTCTCTTTCATTGCCTTGTGAATAAATAAATGGTAAAGAATTTACACATTCATATATAATGACTTTTCATTCATCATATGACTTTAAGTTAACATATTTTGAGAGATATACTGGATACATACCAGTGAGATGCAAATCGTCTGTTAGGTAATTGCACTAAAAAGTACAGTAAATGTTTCTCTCATGACAAACAATCTTAAAGCAGCACTATGTAACTTTTTCTTTGTTCAAAATTTGCTAAATGTATATAATGAGCGAGTACATCATGAATTAATCTTTCAAACCGCGTTTTTGTCTTATTCCGAATCACTACGGTACACTTATAATAAGTACTTATATTTGGACTATTGTAGGCTGGTCACCGCTGCGGAGTAACACATACCTGCGTGAATCGCCGTAGACATAAACTTAGAGAAGTAGCTCCGGTTGGAATGTTCTTCCGCGGGATGTGTGCAGTTCTGTTTATTAACCGCTAGAGCGCCTAAAGTTACATAGTGCTGCTATAAGCAGCTTTTTTTTTTCTTTTTCTGCATGTTTGTGGTTGAACAGGGGTTTGACCCACTTTCCGAGTTACTGGCCTGTTTTTCAAGTTAATTCTGGTAACTTCATGTAAGTAAATATGCCATAAATATTTGCAGGCATTTTTCCTTTGATGTACTTGTTTGCAACTCTGGATATTAGCTTTATGATATTTCTCGACTTTCTTTTTTTTTTTGCAGTTTGGACCTCAGGTTATAAGGAAATTCACAGTTTTTTGTAGGCGCTCATTTTCATAAGTGAGTGTGTGTCTCACATCAGCCTCTCTAATTGTCACTTTTCACTTAACAAATGTCCTTAACACTTCAAATCTTCACCTGTGTTTGAGTGTCAACGTGTACAACAGCATATGTGACTGCCTTTTATTTTTATGGGTCAGAGCGTTCCAAGTGCTGAACAAGTTTCAAGTTACCCCTTTTTCAGTGTGCCACCCTAGGATTTCACTGCGCCCCTCCGGCCACCACATTAATATTCCCTGGACTTTCAGTAAAATGGCATCATAATGTGGTAAAAAATGACTGGATATTATTCTTACTTATAGGCCATCTGCCGTTTTTCTTAAAGATGTAATTGAAATCTGCTGAGATTATAAATCAACACATGCTGTCTGTCACTATCCAAGAGAAGCCTAATTTGAAAATGCTAAAATGCATATGAAAACGCAACACACAGCCGAACGTACAATGGCTTAATATCAAAACAAGGCGCCAAATCTGTACCTTGACTAGCCAGTTCTGAATCAACATTTTTATGTTTTTCAATCACTTTGACACTAAGTCTTGATGTCATTTTTCAAAACAATGCATTGCGCATTCATATCTTTAAAGAAACCTTGCACTTGCATTGGTCAAATAACTCATTTATCATGCAGTACTGTTGGAAGCAAAGGTTTCACTGTGTAGTTGTTCGTGCAATTAAATATTGTAGTACAAAATGTGACCCGTTTCATTATGATATTCCATTCCTGTAACAGGAGTAGTAAAGAGAATACTACAGACATAGTGGAATCATTGAAAAAAAAGGACAGTGAATTGTCAACTAGTGTGTCAGCACCTCAGCTGGCTTTCTGTACAAAACTAAACAAAGGACTGAACTCTGTCTTGTAGATTTGTCTTGTAGATCAGTCAGAATTTTGCCTCGGCCGCCCCTATTTTGCCTAGTCTTTATTTTACAGGACGCAGACCTTGTGTCAGGCCATATAATGCAGCTCTCCTTGTAGCCTTCACTGATGAGCTAAATTGGATTTGTAGAGCTGATGGTGGTGTGACAGTCTGATAATGTGCAGTTGCTCAAATAGTGCAAGCATGATTTCAGGCCCATCCACACAGTTTAGCATCATGTATTTACCCCCATACTCCCCTTTCTCTAACCTGATTGAAGAATTTTTCTCCACATGGTCGTGGAAGGTATAGGTTTTGAGTTTTGTGTCTAGATTTTTTGAAAAAATGATATCAAGGTTCTAAAAACGGTGACAAAAATAAAAAGTAAAGCAAACACTGATTTCTTATTTCTCTAAATGTTTGCATTTATTGCCACATTTTCATCTTTTTCATATCATCCCGTCCTGATCCAGGAGAAACAAACCTTTAATATAGTTTCAGAATGGAATGCATTCTTTGTCTTTCTCATTTTGTTACTTGTGTGTTGTCTTGTTTTCTCACATAAGGGCTACATATAGAGATTTGTATTTGCACACCATTTAAGTGGTGTTATACAAACAGAAATGCAAAGGTGAAAAATGCATTTCTTTTACACATAGAGTTTTGATTTCTATAGTGAGAGTATATTTCCACTAAAGAAATGCAGGAGAAGAAAAAAAACACGTTTGTGCTCATAATCAACACTGCAAAAAGAAAAACACATGGCTGTAAATTTTTCTTTTTAATGCCACATACTGATTACAGTCATGTGTGAAAGCATTTAGGCTACATCATTTATTTGCTTAGAGATCAAAACTCAATTTTTTTGAGGTACACTGTAAAAAAAATTCCGTAAAATTTACGGTAAAAAACCGGCAGCTGTGGTTGCCGGAATTTTACCGTACAAAAAACGGTAGCAACATTTTAGTTTTTACGGTTTTAACTTACATTTACAGTTAAATACCGTAATTTCATTAACTGATAAAATGTTATTATATACCAACCTATTGAAGTACTAAAATCTGTTTTGTACCTTTGTAATACACTGATAACCACCAAATGCAGGTGGTGATTAGAAAGTCAAACGATGAACCAAAGCCCATCACAAGCAGCTTTTAAATAATAACATATATAGAAGGTGCACAGTGTCATTCACACAAACACTAAACACCATCATGGTAACACACATGAAACTGAAATAATGCAATAAACATTCATTTAACAACATTAGGTGTAACACACAACGTTAATATACAAAACTGATAAGAAAAAAAACTAAAAAGAAAGTTATTTCAACAAAAAAACATAAAATTTGAAATGTAACGCAGGGAATTCTGGGAATGTCAATTTACGGTTATTCACTGTAAATTATACGGTCTTTTTCACTTCCAAATACGGTATACTACCGTAAAATTAATGTCCAATACATGTAATGTCGAATACAGTTTTTCACCGAATACAGTTTTTCACCGTATATAGTAGGGGAATTTACCGTTAACCATTTAACAGGTTTTTACTGTAGCATTTTTACAGTCTTTTACCGTTAAATTCACGGTCATTTTTTACAGTGTAGAAATAAATACCCACTTGCGTTTCTTTAGTCTAGTCTAAATATTCCTAATTTGATCACTTAGAAAGCAAAACAATATTTTTTTTCACCTTTGCATTTCTGTGTACTTTGCAAAATATAACACCAATTTAATAAATCCAGTCACTGATTTTCAGTTGTTTGCTGTTTGTAGGCTACTTCATAGCAAACAACTGTAAATCAGTGACTGGATTTATAAAACGTGGAGAAATAAAAGTTTTTTAATCGTATAACACGCTCGTTTATGTATACTGTTTAGTAACTTTTTATTTTATTTTTATCTTTAATATTTTCGATATGTTTAAAATTTGATTGGTAACTATGGTAACCGAAATGACCGCTAACTACCGTTGAACTCTGCCGGAAGATACAACGACGCGAATGGTTCTCTGAGATCTGCTAGACAATTATTTATTAAGGTATCGTACATTTTACTGGCATTTTTATTTCTTCAAACCGCAAGTAACAGCAACAGAAATGAAACAAACGACACGACGCGATAAAACTAACTTACATCGCTAATAATATTTAAACGAGGCATTGTCCCGCCGCTGCCTCGCGCAGACTGTTAAACAAACACTGTTAAGAACATGGACGAACGATTAATTATATTATACATAAAATTTGTATAGAAAATATGTACAAAATGTCCTTACTGAAATACTTAACCAGGTTATTGTTCTAAATAAATATAGGTATTTGGTTTCAAATAATTACTAATATGTTGCAGCTGAGCCCAAATCGCCATTATGTCAGAAATATAACGTTAGCAGGTTATATAATATCACACACAGCAGTACAATTGCGGGGAAATGTGCTTAATGGACTTGAAAAGCAATCTTTGAATGTGGGCTGCGTTTCCCAAAAGCATCGTATATAAGTTTAAGTACATCGTAAACCAATGGAGCTACGATCAACTTGGGCTTACGATGCTTTTGGGAAACGCAGCCGTGGTTGAACCCATAATGTAAGTTGTGTGTCTCTTTGAGAAGATGTGGAAAGCGTCGCTGGACAGGGCTCTCCATCTGCAGCAGGACCTCCGACGCTTCACTAAGCTCTATGAGCACATCATGCTGCTTGTGCTCCTGATGAACACTGCAATACAAGTGGCAATGACATTTCAAGGACTGGCACCAGGTAAAGATCACTGCAGCAGACTAGAAAACACGCACAGTTGCAATCATTCAAACTGTTTTGTGTTTAAAAGCATGTACAATTACGTTGATTTAAATCAGTGAAATAATGGTTTTTATTTTTGAATGAATTGCATTTCTTCAATGTATGGAAGCTTGTTTAAGTCACACAAAAAAAGATAACTTATTTGCAAGTTTTTTTTCTCAGAATGTTGAGAAAAAACTCAGTATTGCGAGAAAAAAAAAGGTCTTAAAGGGGTCATATGATGCGATTTCAATTTTTCCTTTCTCTTTGGAGTGTTACAAGCTCTTGGTGCAATAATGTGTTTTTTGAACCTTAAACCGCATAAACACATTTCATTACACCAAATACACAAAATACTGTTCTTTTTAGCAGCATCATATGACCCCTTTAATTTTGAGATAAAAAGTCGCAGTTACCTTTTTTATGCAGCATTCATGCCTTTAGGCGACAACCTAAACACAACATAAAAATGACTGTGTGCATGTTTAATATCTCCACTGCGTTCATCAACTTTCCACTAGAAGTAACAGCACCTGCGTACAATATTTTCACAAATGTTGAGTTGTTCTCATCAGTACTAACATATGGTATTTCCTGTTTCTTTCTTAGCTTGGGTTTATGAAGCACTGGAGGCAGTCTTCTTGGCTTTTTATACAATGGAGTGTGTGTTAAAGCTCATAAGTTTTGGCTTAAAATACTTCAAAAGCCTGTGGAATATTCTGGGTGAGCTGGCAAATCTGTTGTTTTCTGTGTCATTTCTTATTCTTATTTAAAGCATAATTCTTGTGAATTTATTTTATGCTTAATGCAAGTGAAAACTATTTATCACTGGGGTAGGAAAATACATAATTCATGATGCCTTTTTGAGAACAAGTCTTAATATTTGATGCAGCAGTTTTGTTTTATTTAAATAGTGTTTTATCCTCTTTTCCAGTAAAATAAATGATGATGCAAATGATTTTTTTGCAGTGTATAGGAACTAACATAACATGATGTTTTATTGTTTATTTCTCCAGATTTCTCAGTCACTTTGGTAGGGTTGGTAGACCTTTTTCTGGACAGCAAACAGTATGATAGTGAGCGTTTCACCACTTTTTTCCACCTCCTTAAAATGTTCAAAGTATGTCGAGCGTTCAGGATCTTACGCACACTGCGGTGAGTGTTTCGGTCTTTAACACCAAATGCACAAGCTGAAGTTTGAACTACCTAAGGTGGAATAGCGTGGAGCTGTTTTGCGTTCTTTTTGTCCCAAAGGTAAAAATAATCTAAGAACTGTGTCTTCATCTTAGGTTTTTCAGTGGTCCCAAGGTCATCATGAAAGTAATAGGAAAGTCTTTGAAGATGAATGGAATCATCTTCGTGCTCATGTTTTGCGTCTTTGTCATGTTTTCCATTCTTTTCCGACAAAACTTAAGCAAGTCCGACCCAAAGCGATTTGGTTCCATGCTCAATACCATGTCTACACTCCTCCAGCTGTTGACACTTGATGATTGGATTAGCGTCTATTACACCAGTCGAGACAATGGTATGCTACAGAAACATGTTCACAGGATTATATTTTTGCATATAGAGAGAAAGCCAACCTACTGATCTACTATTTAAGCTGCTTCTTCTGCTTCTTCTTTCTCCTCTTTTTATTCTAAGACTAAATTTGGACTGTGTCTCCTCCTAGAGTTTTGAAGCTACAACCACCAAACTCAGGTCAGATCTTCCGACTGGTCTGACTCGGGTTGCTATATCTTTTCTAACTGATTGGACTTATGATTTTCGTTAAACGGTTGAACAAAATCTATGAAAAGTCCCATAGACTTTTATTGCGGTGATCAAAGCTTTTGTACAGTAAGAGTTTAAGCTGTCTACCACTAGCAAAGGTTAATGACTATCCTAGGACAAAATGTTAAGTCATGCTAGCAACATACTAATTCATGCTAGAAATGTGCTAATCATGCTAGAAACATGTTAACAACACACTAGAAACATGCTAGCAGCAACATGTCAGCATGTTAAAACATGTTAAAAACATTAACAACATGCTATCATGCTATCTACGTGCTAAAACATGTTAACAACATGTTAAACATGTTAAAAACATGGTAATCATGCTAGAAACATTTTAAAACATGGTAATCATGCTAGAAACATGTAAGCAGCATGTCAATAACGTTAGAACATGCTAACATATTAGCAACATGATAATCATGTTAGAAACACACTAGCAACATGTTAATCCAGTTAAAAACATGTTAGCAACATGATAAAACATGCTAACAACATGTTAAAGGGGTCATATGATGTTGCTAAAAAGAACATTATTTTGTGTATTTGGTGTAATGAAATGTGTTTAT